TAATTACCATATTTTGAAATGTATAAGGTAAGTAGGTAGGGAAATGTATTTAGTAGAGTTGATTCTTTTGCTTGTTCTAATAAAGGTCTGCCTTCTCTTGAGATAAGTTGGCCAACTATCCTATATATGGAGGACTAGAAGACTCTTGAACAGACTATAAATAATATATAACCACTGGCTGGGAAATTTCTACCCTTGACATTTCTGGTTTTGTTGCCCATTTTGGGGACACAAAGAGAGGATGCAGGCAGGGCAAAGTGGTGCCGTTTCCTCTTAACCCTACAATCAGGAACAGGCTGTACCAAGAGGAACACAACCACAGGGCAGGGATCAGGGTGAGGTGAGGGAGACCAAGTTGGACAAGTACAGGGTAGGATTCTGTCTTTACTTAAAATGTTGCTATTTTGTTTACCATGGATTTCTTATTTTGCATTAGTTTTGACTTTTTAAGACACTGCATTACCAAGTGTTTTGGCACCCACTTAAATTTTGCACTAGAGGTAAATGCCTCACTCATTCACCCCAATCCCAGACTTGCTCGAGTAAGTGCCTGAGTCAGGTTCCAGCAGCTCTGTGGACCCAAACTAGAGCACAACCTCCCGCTTTTACCTACCTGAGCCCTCACGGGCCATGGACAGCTTCTACAAGAACTACCCTCTCCTTGTTTGTAAAAATGAAGGGTACAGAAAATTATTTTGTCTTACAAGGGCCCAGTTGGAGTATTAGGAAACAGGTATCACAGAACTGAAACTGGAACTTTTAGCTATGCTCTTTTCCAGTGCTTATTTGTTTTTGGACAGAAACCATATGAGCAAAGGAACAAATGCTCTGAACGTGGACTTAGTAGGAAAAACAAGGAATCAGAATAACACATTCACCCAAAAAGTATTCACCCCCAAACTCCTCCAAGCATGCTAAGTTAAATAATGAGAGGTTTGATGCCCATACATAGTACCTGTGACATAAAGCTCTTTCAAACAATGAAAAAGGCAGGATTACATGTGGTTGAACTAAACGAACACCAAGGGTACTTTTCTATCCTTGAAGAGAACAAAATAAGACTTTCAATCTTACTGCCGAACTTTTCATCAGACTTGCTGGCATCTTTCTCTTTGTCTTTTCTGTGTTTACAGTCCTCAAGCAGAGGCAGACCCTGCCCTCCTCCACAAAGAACTTGGGACCCTGACTTCTCTACTGTGTCTGACCTCAGTCTAGTGGAGAAAGGGATTAAGGTTTACTGAGTAACTGCTGGGTGTTGATGCTTTCAGAAATGTTATCTTACTTAATGCCCCAGCAGTCTGTCAGGGGAAAGATATTCTCATCGAGAGGATTAGGAAATGTGGGGAAGAAGGTTTAGGTCTGGCAGCTGTTACAGCTAGACCCATGAAGCCCCTAGGTGTCACACTGTTTTCTCTGAAGGGACAGATAAGCCTAGATGTAATGTTACTTTATCTTCCATTGTAGCAAGTAGTCTCACCACAGAATTGTTTGGAAAGGTGAGATACAGGGCCTTTAGTTCCGTTGTTCTCCTTGGAAGGAAAGGTTGGTTACACCACCGTTAATTGGAAGCTAATGCTATGGGCAATAAAAGCTCTCAAAAGAAGAAAAGAGAATGTTAGGGACATCAATCTAGTTAAAGTATTTTGAAATTATCTGTTGACATTAGATGGGTATTGGTTTTTGGGCATTAACATGGGTATATGTCTATCTTATGCATGTCTGTTGCAGATTCAGTAGAAAAAAAATACCTAAATATATATTTAATTCCATAGGATCCCAAAGCACTTTGAGGATTTAAATTGATAAGCCAACCTCAAAGGGACTCATTCTTGCAACTAAAACACAGACACCTCTGGGGTGAAATGTGGCAACAGTTTGACAGGCATAGCAGTAGCTTAGGCCAGAAAGGATTTATCCAATTAAAATTATGGGATGAATTTTGGCTGGCAGAATGTAATTACCAGCCTTGGAATGGGTCCAGGATCCTGAGGTTAACACCCCTCCTCTTGCCAACAGCCCTCCTACCTGCCAACACTCCGAGATGGAGAAGGCTGGATCTGACACAATCGCACATAATACTGTTGTGACATCTAAGTACAATGATGATGATGTGAGAAGCATCATGAACCTGATTTTTTTTAACACTCATTATGTTACTTATTTTTATGCCACATTAGGCTAGAAACCAAATGTCCACATAAATGTTAATTTCCTCAAATCTGTATTTAAAAAGTATAATTAGAAAATAAAAAATAGATTTAAAAATTAATTTATTCTGTCAAAGTAGTTATTTAGTGATTACTTCACTTCAGGAACAAAACCAGATCAAAGTGGTAACATTTAATCCTTGCTATATATATAAAAAAACAAAAACAAAAACAAAACCAAAACAGGTCCTAATTTTTTGTAAATGTGTTCTCAAGGTTCACTGGCCTAGAAAAAAGAGAAATAATTATTAATGCCCGGTTCATGTAGCTCGTAAGTACGTGGGCAGGTATTAGTACTGCTTTTGTCCTAGGGTGGTTCCGGCGCTTGCCTACTCACAAGCGCTCCCGGGCAGCATTTCTCAGCAGAGACTTTACTGCAAGGGTGCGTTTGCATGTGCGCCAAAGAGCCCCCTGCTGGTGTATGATCAATGGGTAATGACCTCATCATTAGATTCTAATGCCCTTTAAAAAAAGTCATTCATTTACAAGAGACAATTGTGGAGAATCCCAAGGTAAAGCAGAGGGGGTGAGAAGGCAATTCCACGCTGAACGTTAAGGCTTCCGGGCCGCCGGCACGCGGTGGGTGCGGGGCCCCGCGGAGTGTAGGTCAGGCAGCGACCAGCAGAGCCTGCTCCCGGAGGCGTGCAGCGGGCTGGAGCGCGAGCTGGGCGCCCGGGGTGGGGGGCGGGGCCGGCGGCGTAAGCTGCGCGTCGCCGCCGCGGGGCGACCCCGACTCAGCGCCGTGCTACTCCGCCACCCCTACGCGCGCGCAGGTCGGTTCTCTCCCCGACGCGGAGGCGCGGGCGCTGCTCGAGAGCCGGATCCGGGGCAGCCCCGCCGCCGGCCGTCCTTCGCTCCCGGGCCCCGCGGCCCGTGGACGCCGATCGCGGGGCGGCGAGGGAGTGCCCCAAGGCCCGCGCCCAGTCCCTCGGGTTAGCCTTCGGCCCACGTGGCCCTGAGCCACTTCACACCGGAACCGGGGCGGGGCCACGCAGGGAGACCCAGTGGCGGGTTCCAACCCGAGCACGCGCTACCGCCCCCTCGGGGAGCCTTTTTGCGGCCCTAACAGCGCGAGCGGTGGTGCGTACGCAAGAGGCAGGTGATCTGGCGGAACTGTCGCGAACTGCTCCACTCCGTGCTGGCCCTGCTGGTTCCTCTCCGGGGGGGGGGGGGAGGCCGGTTTTTGGTTTATGGCCGGAAGTAATCGAACTGGGATTGGAGGGATGGGCGCACTAGGAGCGCCGTCTCCCAGACCACAGAGTGTTTGCGGGGTTGCTCTGGGTTACTTTGTAGGTGGAAGAGGCAGAGAAACACTTACCCTTTTCACTAACAAGCTTGACTGCTCTCCAAAATTCCGGTGGCCGCTAATTTCAGCTTTTGCTGTGAAGGTAGATTTTTCTAACACCATCTTTGTGTGATTTAACTGTCCACAGGGAATCAAAATGTGGAATGAGAGGATGAAACTAATCCTTTCTTTTGCACTGTTAGGGGTTGCCATAAACACCATTTGTTAAAAAGCCTAATTATGTTGGGAAAGTGCCTGATGAGACAATTAAGCTACATAAACACACTGAAAACAAATGAAAGCCAGAAGACGCCCACACCCCTTGTGTAAAGCAATTTTTTGTTTACACAGAAGAGAGAGGTCTGAGCTGCTTTATTACAACAATGTTATTAATGTCTACAAAAGCCTAATGACCGTATTTTCATGAATTTTCAATCATGAGATGATGGTCACAAGATGAAAACTTGCTTACAAACCTGAACTAACATGGAGCCTTGCGTTCCCTCTAGGTTAGGATGATTAGGCCCATGAACAATCCTAGTGAACAGAAGCCAGAGGATTGATGCATCGAGAGTACTATTATTTGCAGCAGAGCACACGGTTTAGCCAAAACTCATAAGCTTAAAGTTTGTCTCAAGCTTGGGCACCATTCACTGCGGTATTCCCCACACTGAGGACATTACCCGATACAAAATAACTCTTATCAAATAATTTGTTGAATGAATTCGTGAGGGCCACATTTATTTTTAGTTACGATGTTTAAAAGAGACCTAAATATGGCCTGGTCTTGAAAAGGGGAATTCTTTTCTTATTATTTTGAGATATTTAAATTTCTTTAGTCAATAATATTTGAGTCGAAAAATGCCATTCTAGGTACTAAAAAGAATCAAAGCAACCTCCAAAACTTGTGTAATTAATGCATTTTCACCAAAAGGATCAGTCACATTCTTGGCATTGTTGGTTCACGTAGGATATATATCAGATTTCAGTTCCAGGAAGAGAATCCTGTGAAAAGATTTTCAACTGATACAGGAATTTTGGAGACTGAAGTATAAGAGGAATTTAGTCAAATAGTTGTCACTTAAAGCACCCAAAGAGTCCCTTTTATTTGTTCATATATTGCCTGTGTCATGGCCCATAGAGATAACCTTTCTTTTTGCCAGAAAAATAATTTTTATAAGAATCTTCATTTCTCTTTTTTACAGTTCCCTAGTTAAGTCTCATTTAACAAGAGGATCATGCTTATTTGATACATAGGACAGACCTCAAAAAGAGGATAAACTAAGGAAGATGATGTTTCAAAGGGAATAATATACTTTAACAAAAAAGTTTCATTTCCATGACAATTCAGGCTGAGTAACTTGCCCTGTGTGTTCTAGTGGTGTTAACTATGTTCCTACGTTCATATGTGTGTGGCCACCTACGCATGGTTTCCTGGTTGACTCGATCTGAGGATTTTATCCTTCAGGTGTTCTGCAGTAATGAAATGGTGAAATGTTCATATTATGACTGCTTGGTTTCCAAAAAACTAATTTTTATAAGGTTAATGAACATGAAAATATGAACACACCACAGAGACCAAAATGAACGATACTTTTTCTCCTAGAAAAATCACCATGTCTTCCTCCAGACTGGGGCTCTGTTTGGCTGCCTGTTTACTAAATATTTCAGAAGCCAGAAGGAAATACATTGTTGAGAACATAGCAAAAGCAGCTCTTCTTGAAAAAAATGGTAGGAACAACAGACAATTGAAGCGAATATGTAGTGTTTTGATAAATACAGTAATTTTTGTATAATGCAGACAGTGCTACAGAACACTCTTCTTTCTTCTTAGACTTCCCTCCTTGTTCTTGGGCTGTTACAGCTTTTGCAGGACCCCAGGATACTGAGATAGATCGGTTACTCAGATGTGCACATGTGCTCTTTTCCAAAAGCCTGCATACGCTCAGCAGCGCACTAATTCACATTGGAGAGCGAGTGTCTGAGATGAGCATTGTTCAAGATTTCAGGCTCCTGAGGAGGATATATTTACATAAAGGTTTAATGTTTCCCTCATGGGCCATTTATGTGATCATTAATAGAATGAGCATAATTGTACTTTATGCTTTTTATTCGACAGGTTAAATAAAAAATAAACTTGCCAAATACCAGCTACTTTTCAAAGCTCTCCTGCCAGCAAAGCCCATACTTTCATTACAACATTATTATTTCTACTCCATTTTCTCCATATAAAAACTCTTAGGCAATTGCCTTTAAGTGATGTGTGTAAGATCACTCAGCAATTCAGAAGACTGGAACTCAAGCCTCCTTACTCCCTGGGCCAGTGTTTCCTGTGAGAGATACCACTTTTTATTTTACTCTCGTTAATATGTTCATGTGGTGACACACAGTTCTAGATACCACTTGTTTTTACTTTCATGCACACACAGAACACAGTGTATTTTCAGACTTCTAATCATTAAGTAGATTAAATTTAAATTTTTGGCAACAGGTGAGCATTAGAGTCACAATCCTGAAGCATTTGAGACAGTATGTTTTAATTTCTGATAGTCATTTTTGATTCGGTGGCTATTTTTCATGAGAAGGAAGTGTTTTCCCCTAGCCCATTTCTGATGATGAGCACATTTAAGTTACCGCCTTACAACTTTGCAGGAGCTGCAAATGTCTAAGAAAATTCCTGATAAATTGCCGATAAGAAAGCCCCTCTGGAGTCAGTCTGCAGCTGTGCTTTTCCATTGTCTTTGTGGGAAGAGCCAGCTTGGGTCCCTCATTGTCAGACATAGTACCTCTAATGGGATTGGGTTACCTGTCTCTGTGATTAAGTGAACGTGCAGAGATATCTGTGGAAGCCATATACTGATGGACGCCTGAGTCTCAACTTCCCGTTTTTATCAACTTATTAGTGGCAGCAGCTCAAGTGGAATTATAGCTATTATACTCCATTACAAACACCAAACAATTTACTTCTGCGGAGATCCATTGACAGTTCCTACTGCCAGCAGTAATTTTTTTTCTATATGCATGCTTAAGAAATTGCAGGAGAGAGGATTTCATTCTTCTAGCATTTGATTCAATTGTATCCTATGAAACTGAGAATAAAAGCTTTTCAGAAGAAGATTTAGGATGAAAAAATAAAATTATCTCTTTTCTTCCAGGAGCTAGAGGATGTTGAAAAAATACATAAAGTAAGAGGTTGTATAATTGTGTTCTTGGCTTCATCTTTTACAGTTTTAAAAATGAGGGAAGGTGGCACTAGTTAAGAAAATGACCTGTTGTTTTACAAATATTTTAAAGACGTTTATTTTTAAGTGAGTGGAATAAAACTATATCGTCCATATTTTTTCTGATTAAGCAATGTGAAAACATTTAAGTAGCCTAAAAGGTCTTAGGTAAAGGAACCTGAGTTATAAATTTTAGATGTATACCAGGGCAGGGCTGTATAGATGCTCATTTGGCTATGAGTGAGTGACATATGTTTATCTTTTCGTGTTATTAAAATTAATGGTGTAGGGCTGCTGTAAGCTCTGTAGTTCCTGTGTGTAACTTATTTTTCCTCTCCTCTGAAAAGATTAATTGTTAGGCTGCCAGGGGACAGGGCGACAAAGGTATAATAGCATAGCTAACGGTTTAATTACTGCCTGAAAACTTTTGTCCTTCACTTTGAATTTGCTTTTGTAGGCTTAAGGGGGACTTTTAAGGAGGCTGAACCAGGCTTGTAAACTTTAAAAATAACTTTGGGGTAATGTGCGGCTGCCATACAAGTGTATAGCAGCTTTCTCCTCCAGGTTACACATTCAAGTGAGTCATAAGCCACCAAAAGCTGGAAGTCGTTAACATCTGAAGGATGTTGGTGGCCTCTGAAAGGAGATGGTGGAGACAGAACAGTTTCTAATGGACAGGTGCATACATCCCAGAAGCCTGTGTTTCAGACACTAATTGGCCTATCCTCGTTTTACCAAATGTCAGATTTTTATCCAGACAGTTTGATTTGCGGGTTTTCGAAGGAAAAATTGGCAAAGCCTAGAGGACGAGATTGAGAAGGAGCAGAATTTAGAGTGAAGTGATTTGGCGACTGAAAGAAGAGGCTACCATCTTAGACTGAGTTAAGAGAACCTTGGCAAACTCAGTAGCGAGTCCAAGTCCAAGACATGATCTGGTATAGACACCAAAGGCTAGCATCTGAGCTGAGCCGTCTGGTTATATAGTAACCAGATAGAGTTATAACTATAATCTGGTTATATAGCAACATTATAAGAAGTAGCCATTACCACCTGGGAATTTCATGGTTAGCCAATGTCACTTCAAAAGTCAAATACCAGAATTTTTCTATTTTTTTAACACAATTTTTAATGTTTATTTATTTGAGAGAGAGAGAGAGAGAGAGAGAGAGAGAGAGAGAGAGCGCGTGAGTGAGGGATGGGCAGAGAGAGAGAGAGGGAGACACAGAATCCCAAGCAGGCTCCAGGCTCTGAGCTGTCAGCACAGAGCCCAATGCAGAGCTTGAACCCACGAACCGTGAGGCCATGACCTGGGCTGAAGTTGGAAGTTTGACTGAGCCACACAGGCACCCCCCAGAATTTTTCTATTAAACTAAATTTAATTGCACCAGAAGATCTAAATTATTCAGGATTCATCACAGAAAAAAAATTCTAGCATGTATGTGTTGTTTTCTTTACAGGGCACAGGTATCCTGAAGTATCAGTGCTCAATATATTTTCATTTCCTGATCAAGACTACAACAGATCAATCATTAAATAGCAGCTTCTGTTAATTAGTTAGGTAAGATTTCGGTGTCTTTATGTATATGTCTTTTGATGAAGGATAAGATTCAGATAGACCTGAATGTTCTTTGATCACTGATGTCCTGTATAAATCCAAATACTCCCGAGAATCTATCTTAAAACTGCATTTCATTATTCTTCTGAACATGTATATCTCAAATGTTTCCAATTTTCTCTTTAGTAAAATGAGCAATGGGGTCCAAGTTTTAATATTCTTTCACTGAAGATGATCCTGTATCAAATGTGGTTAAGGAAACCTTTTCTGGTTTTAACCTGTGAAATAATAGTGTAGAAATCAGCCTTAATTTCACCAATAACTTGGCATGGAATGAAAGAATGAAATATGCCAAACAGTTGTGTTTTGGGTTAGGAGCCTGAAATCTTTTTTTTTTTTTTAAGTTTATTTATTTTGAGAGAACCAGCACATGTGTAAGTGGGGGGGTGGGGGGGGTTGGGCAGAGAGGGAGAGAGAGAATCCCAAGCAGGCTCAGAGCCATCAGTGCAGAGCCTGATGTGGGGCCCGAACCCACAAACGTGATCTTGAGACCAAGATCCAGAGTTGGACACTTAACTGACTGAGCCATCCAGGTGCCCCAGGGAGCCTGAAATCTTGAGTTGGTTCATGGGTTGAAATGAAATGAGCTCCATGTCTCATAGGGATGTTGTCAGATTTAATAGGAAAACTTGAATTGGAAGAATCATAATTGTTTAAAGAAAAGCCTATGTTATCTTAATACTGCTTAGTAAAGGGTTCCAAATATTTTCAAGTAAACCTGATTTCAACTGTCTTCTTTCAAAAGGTGTATTTGTTTGGAGAGCAAAAAGCTGACTGATAACTTCCAGCAAGCATAGGACTGATTATCTTGAATGTTAATCATAGGATGTAAAATTTGCTTCTTTGTTATTTATCTCTATGGCTAAAATGGTCATATTACACTAATGAAAACTCAGAGTAGCAATAGTATAGGTGTTTATAATATGTACTTCGATATAATGATTCAATGAAAAACTCTACTGAATAAGAGCAAAAATCAAATACTTATGCTTCAAAAAATGTGTGTGTGTATATTTTAACGTAATCATAAAACATTCTGAAAACATAGAATTTTATCAGATTAATTTGGTAAAACTGAAAAAATTGAAAGTAACCAATTAAAAAACTGACAAAGTTATTTAAGACTGATGAACATTGCATAATTCTTCTACTTTGGGGAATAAAGAGCTGGCAGAAATACAAAACTTTATGACAATTGGGAGGCAAGGCAAAGGGAACTGTTGATCTTTTATTTTTCTTTGTTTTGGATAAAAACAATCTTCTATACAGATTGAAAACAACAACAACAACAACAACAAAAAACCCAGAACAACTAGTAAGACAGTAAAATCATAGCTGCTGGTTTAGATGCGATTGAAAGTTTAGTGATTGCTGTTTCCAGTTTCATGTTTGTTTTTTTTTTTAAATTTTTTTTTCAACATTTATTTATTTTTGGGACAGAGAGAGACAGAACATGAACGGGCGAGAGGCAGAGAGAGAGGGAGACACAGAATCGGAAACAGGCTCCAGGCTCTGAGCCATGAGCCCAGAGCCCGACGCGGGGCTCGAACTCACAGACCGCGAGATCGTGACCTGGCTGAAGTCGGACGCTTAACCGACTGCGCCACCCAGGCGCCCCTCCAGTTTCATGTTTTAAGGCAATTCTGTTTTGGCTGCCAGCGTGGAGGCTTTTAAGTCTGTGAATATGGAGGCTCAAGAGGGGATCCACCTTGCCTGGGAGCAGTGGACCTCATTCCCATTTACACTCTATCTCGTGTACAAGTGGACAAGTGTGGAGCTGTGGCCTAAGTAAGAGAAAGTTTAGGGTAGTGTGTCATTCCTGGTTGGAAACCATTTTTTTTTTTTTAAACAAATCAGAACAGTTTGTGACAATATAATCATTCCTCAATTCCCTGGAAGAGTCGACCTTGAAGAATTATATCAATAATAGGCTTTCATGGGTTGCAGTGCATACCGTGACTTTGTGACTTCTCTCTCCACTTTCCACCCCATGACACTATGGAACACTAAATGCCGTGGGATGGGGGCAAATCAACCATTTGTCCCTTACAGATTTGCCATAGATCATGAGGAAAAACAACAGTAGTTTCTAATGAGTTCCTTAGATTCTTCAAGGCAGAACAATGGTGTGTTTGGCCCATCTGTGTCCTATTTTCTTGAGCAGGGGTAATGATGAGGTTGAAAAACCACTTAAATGTTAACTCCTACCCCTTTTTCCTCTGATTTTTTTCTTTCTTTCCCTACGTACAACTCTCTTTAAGATTTGCTTTGGAACTGAACTGTCACATGCTTGATTTCAGCCCCAGGGGTAAGTTTAATTTGGAAAATTTGAGCTATGTCACTTGAGGTGTTTTTGAATTAGGCAAATTGGGAGAAAAGAAAGACCTTTTGCCTGGACTGTCTAGCTGCACCGTGGTTAATTACGAGATGCAGAGGCTCATAACCTTTGGGGGAAAGTCCGCCTTAGGATAATTGCATTCTTCTCTGTATGACCTCAGAAATCCCTGTATGATGTTGCCTCATGTATTTCATACTGAATTGTCTAACATTTGGGATGTAGATTTGGACTCTGAGCTACATCAAGTACTGGCACTAGTAAAAGAGACTTGTTTCCAGAGGAGCACCTCACCACTTGTGCTGCCTTTTTTTTTTTTTTTTTTACAACGTTTATTTATTTTTGGGACAGAGAGAGACAGAGCATGAACGGGGGAGGGGCAGAGAGAGAGGGAGACACAGAATCGGAAACAGGCTCCAGGCTCTGAGCCATCAGCCCAGAGCCCGACGCGGGGCTTGAACTCACGGACCGCGAGATCGTGACCTGGCTGAAGTCGGACGCTTAACCGACTGCGCCACCCAGGCGCCCCACTTGTGCTGCCTTTTAATGTGACCTCACAATCTAGGGATTATTTCCCAGGAAAGTCTTGGCCCAAAATTTGCTGTACTTTTTATCCAAGAAAGAGTTAAAATTCAGCATGGGGGAAATACGTTTCACACGAAAACGAAGAGTTCAGAATTGTCCAGACCTGAATAATGATTTTAATTGTCTTCAAAACAGTTATGTTCAATTACATTAAATCTCAAATTTGCTAGTACATGAAGTTCTCCATTACATCAGGACTGGTCCTCCCCAGATGTTCGTCCCGCGTAGGAGACAGTTGACAGTCGGATGGTCTGGACACAGTATTTCTCCCTTCCCTTGCCCTTTTGCTTCATTGGCAGCTACTGTACCTCATGATTTAAACATGGACATTTCTAATTAAATGAGAGCTCAGCTGCATTCTTGAAGTAATTTATAACATTTGATTTGAAATGTAATAGCTTCAATCTTCATCTGATTAAAAACAGTCATATACTGTACATGGTTACTATTTTGGTGGCTGCAACATGCAGTTTTTATTTTTACATTCCCCTTTCGACACAGCTGTTCATCTAATATCATCCATTTTTTTAAAGCTTTTTTTATTTGTTGTTGTTGTTGTTGTAATAACATGTTCAGGCATTCTTATGAGGGTAGAAGTATTCAATTCTAGGATCTTGCTGTTCTCACAACAGTGAAGGGACATTTTTCACTAGGGTAACCCCTTCTCACGGAAACCAACTTTTTTTTTTTTAATGTTTATTTATTTTTGAAGGAGAGGCAGAGCATGAGTGGGTGAGGGGCAGAGAGAGAGGGAGACACAGAATCCGAAGCAGGCTCCAGGCTCTGACCTGTCAGCACAGAGCCCCGACGTGGGGCTTGAACTCACAAACTGCAAGATCATGACCTGAGCTGAAGTCAGATGCTTTAACCAGCTGAGCCACCCAGGTGCCCCGGAAACCAACTTTAAAATAATAATTTAACTCACTTTCTTTGGGAGGAAGGGCAATGGAGAACATTCCAGTGACATGAAAAATAGTTAATATTTACATGTGTGATTCATGTACGCTTTATATGCAAATATTCTGAATGATGTATTTCAGAACTTTTTTATAGCACCTGTAAGCTTTCTTGTAACTTAAGGAATGAGTTCTTTTTTTTTTTTTTTTTTAATGTTTATTTATTTTTGAGAGAGAGAGAGAGACAGAACTTGAGCCCGGGAGGGGCAGAGAGAGAGAGAGGGAGACACAGAATCAGAAGCAGGCTCCAGGCTCTGAACTGTCAGCACAGAGCCTGCTATGGAGCTTGAACTCACGAACCATGAGATCATGACCTGAGCCAAAGTTAGATGCTTAACTGGCTGAGCCACCCAGGTGCCCCAAAGGAATGAGTTCTTAAATTGAGGCCCAAAATTGGCGTTCAGGGCCTTATAAATGTCGAAATCATTTGCAAGTTTTATGCATGTGCATTTGTGTATATGGACATAGGGACAGACACACATACTTTTGCATATAATTTTAGTTTAAGAACTTTTAGAATAGAGAGCACAGCAATGCAGAGGCTCAGAGGTGAGAACATCCTGGGTTTGAGGACCTGCAAAGGACTTCAGCATGGTGTGCTAGAACTTAGAGATGAGGTGGGATGGTAGAGGCATTCCTGGGCATGTTAAAAAATGAAGCTTCAGAGATAATTAGAGGTCAGAGCATGAAGTCCTATATGCAAGGTTAAGGAGTTCAGACCTTATCCTAAAAGCAGTGGGAACCACAGAAGAGTTTTAAGCAAGAAAGTGGTATGATTGGCTTTGAATTTTAGAAAGATTACCCTGCCTGCATGATAGAGGATGGCCAGGAGGCAGGCAGATCGGTTTGGAAAGGTGGTGATAACAGAATCAAGAGAGTGGAGAGAATAGAATGGGGGATGTTGAGTGGTGGGAACAGAGTGGTGGCATGAAAGTGTCATCACTTACAAATGATGGAAGAAAGAGGATTTTGGGGAAAAAGCATGAATACATTTTTTACATGCTGCCATTTGGCAGTTAGATATAAAATTGAGAGCTAGGAGACACAGAGATCTAGTCTGTATTTATTTTAAGCTTTTACTTTTTCAAAAATATTTTGGACTTTGGTTTTCATTTTCAATTAAAATCACATTTGATCTATTAGGCTATATTTCATTTTTATCTCCGTTGTCTCTCTAAATTTTTTTCTTTCCTCCCTTCCCCTCCTCCTCATTATGTCCTTCCCTGTTTCTCTCCTTTCCTCCTTCCTTTCCTCTTTTTCCTCTTTGTTATTGTTAAGATGATACACACACAGCTGAAAATTGAATATTTTACAGGGTTTGTTCCCAAAACTCTAAGTACCTACATAATCCCCTTTCCATATCACTTTAATTTCCTTCTCTCCAGAGCCAACTACTTTCCACTCTTTTATCATTTAGGATTCAACTCCAGATATCTAAATACCAACTCATACTGGTACTTTTTGGTTTTTCAGTTTTAGGCCTTGTCTATTGAATTCTCCCTACAGAGGGTGAGAATTTAGCTTCCTTTCACCCCCACCCCTACCCCTGACCCCCAACACACACACACTCTTCCCAGTTCTCCCTCTTTTAGATACAGTTATATCAAAATTTGGATAAATATTTAGTGGTTACATTATTATAACTATGTAAATGTTATTCATAATGAAGTACTTAGAATGTTATCATTTTACCCTTTCTACACAACTTGTTGTTTTTTCTGGAACTGATCATTATCTTTTTGATTGTTTACTTAGTTTTTTATATATTGATCACTGGTTTAACCCCAAACTCTCTGTTAATAATGGGATCTCTCCATGCATTTAGATAGAGCATTCCATGTATTGAATGTTCCATCAGTTTTATTATCTTAAAGAACCATCATCTATACCTCTCTGACCTGTTCCAATCAGGACCGGTTGCCGTAAACCCTAAATTTGTTGAGGATAACTGTCATTACGGCATCTCCCTTTATTATCATCCTGGGTGCTCCCTTCACCTCTCTCTGTGTTGGAAACACTGGTTCCTAAATCTCTTATTTTCTCTTTTTTGTCCCTCTTAGTTTATGTCCTCGTTTTAGTTGCACACATCTTTTACTGGCTTTCTTTAAAAAAGGTGGGAGCAGTATATTTTTGAGACTTTGCATGTCTGAAAATTCCATTCATTCTACCTTCACACTGGTAGTTTGACTAGGTGTAGAATTCTAGGTTAGAAATAATAATTCCTTTATTTTGAAGATATTGCATTATTGAATTCTTATTTTTATGTTGCTATTGAGACTTCTAAAGCCATTATGATTCCTGATCTTTGTATGTGATCTGTCATTTCTCTCTGGAAGCTTGTAAGATCTTCACTTTATTCCTAGTGTTCTGAAATTTCTGTGATGCACCTTTGTATGACTCTCTTTTCATTTATTATGCTAGATATGTGCTAGGCCCTTTGAATCCTTGAAACTTTTTATTTACTTATTTATTTATTAAATTTTTTTTTTTGAATGTTTCTTTTTAAGAGAGAGAGAAACAGAGTGTGAGCAGGGGAGGGGCAGAGAAAGAGAGGGAGACACAGAATCTGAAACAGGCTCCAGACTCTGAGCTTTTAACACAGAGCCTGACAAGGGGCTCGAACTCATGAGCTGTGAGATCAAGACCTGAGCTTAAAAAAAAAAAAAAAAAAATTAATGTTCATTTATTTGTGAGAGAAAGAGAGAGAGAGAGCATGCATGAGTGGGGGCAGGGCAGAGAGAAAGGGAGACACAGAATCTGAAGCAGGCTCCAGGCTCTGAGCTGTCAGCACAGAGCCTGACACGGGGCTTGAACTCATGAGCTGTGAGATCATGACTTGAGCCAAAATCAGACACTTAACCCACTGAACCACCCAGCCACCCCGAATCCATGAAACTCTTATACCTCAGTGCCAGACAGTTCTCCTGAATTATTCCATTGATGATTTCTTCCATTCTTCGAGTTTTTTTCTGGAAGACACATTATTTGGATATTGGAACTCTTGTGTTGGTTCTCTACATTTATTTTCTTTCTTTTGCCCATCACTTTATATTTTTATAATACTTTCTGGAAAATTTCCCCTACCTTATATGCAAAGCCTTCAGTAAGTTTTTCATTTCTTCTGTATTAGTTTCCAGATGCTTTTATTTACTCTTTGAATGTTTATTTTATTATTTTAAGTAACATCTGGTCATATCTCATGAATACAGTATCAGTGGATACTTTTTGATATTTTCTTCTTCCTGCATTGTGTCTGCTTTCCACCCCCTGCCCCTAACCTGGATATTCTCAGTATGTAGGTGGGGTTTGTCAGCTGTAGACTCATCTGGCTGGGTTGTTTCTTTGGGGAACCCCTCAATTAGTATTTTGGTTTTTTGGTCTTTTCCTCTTGAGCTGTTGAAGTTTCCCAGAGAAGTATCTTCCAATCGTCAGCCCACAGGGTAGACACAGCTGTGTATGTTTTAAGAAATGAGTTGTAGAAGAGGGCTGGTAGAGTCAGCATTTAGTTTGTGACTATTCTCTAAGCTCCCTTCTTTTCCTTAATCATCCTTGCCCTCAGCCGTGCCCAGTGTTCCCCAGCCCAGATGCCTTAGGTTTTACCTCTTGTGTCTTCTGCCAGGGTGGAGGCAGGGCACTTGCCTGTCTGTGTGGAGGGGGTGTTGCTCTAACTGCTGCTTAAACAGACTTCCCACCAGTCTTCCTGTTTTGAGCTTTGCTGTTAGCTTCCTTTCCAACGTAAGGCTGCCATTTCTGATCATG